GATGTGTACATGACACAACCCGAGGGTTTTGTCGATCCTAAGAGTCTGAGGAAGGTGTGCAAGTTTGAGAGATCCATTTATGGACTTAAACAGGCTTCGAGGAGCTGGAATCTTCGATTTGACGAGGCAGTCAAAACGTTTGGCTTCCTGCAAAACGAAGATGAGCCATGCATTTATAAGAAGGTCAGTGGGAGCGCAGTGGTCTTCCTTGTACTTTATGTGGATGATATATTGCTCATCGGAAATGACGTTCCTACTTTGCAAGGAGTAAAATTCTGGCTAGGATCAGTCTTTTCGATGAAGGACTTAGGAGAAGCCGCCTATATTATAGAAATCAAGATCTATAGAGATAGATCGAGAAGGTTTATTGGTCTAAGTCATAGTACATACATTGACAAGGTCTTGAATCGGTTCAAGATGCAAGACTCCAAGAGGGGTGCCTTGCCAATGGGACATGACGTGGCTCTTAGCCAGACTCAGTGTCCAAAGACACAGGATGAGCAAGAGCGCATGAGTAAGATTCCATATGCCTCGGCAATTGGATCCATCATGTACGCCATGTTTTGTACTCGTCCGGATGTATCATATGCATTGAGTATGACTAGTAGATATCAGTCTACACCAGGTGAGGCTCACTGGATTGCGGTTAAGAACATCCTTAAGTACTTGATAAGGACAAAAGATTTGTTTTTTGTGTATGGCGGATTGGAAGACGAGCTCGCTATAAGGGGTTATACCGATGCTAGTTTTCAGACCGACAGAGATGACTTCAGATCGCAGTCAGGTTACGTTTTCTGCCTGAACGGTGGGGCTATTAGTTGGAAGAGTTCCAAACAACCAACCATTGCAGATTCACTACAGAAGCCGAGTACATAGCAGCATCGGATGCAGCTAAGGAAGCTGTTTGGATCAGGAAATCGTGGGAGGCCTGGGCGTCGTTCCTAGTATTGCAGATCCCATTGAGTTGTACTGTGACAACAATGGTGCGATCGCACAAGCTAAGGAACCCCGGTCACACCAAAGATCCAAACACATACTCAGACGATTTCACTTGAACAGAGAAATAATCGACAGAGGAGACGTGAAGATAAGCATAGTGTCAACAGGTGATAATATTGCCGACCCGCTGACAAAGCCTCTCCCTTCGTCAAAGCATGATGGTCATGTTATGGGTATGGGGATTAGATGCATGTAGGATAGATCATAGAGCATAGTGGGAGATTGTTGGTTGTAATGCTCTACGATGATCCGTGATATGACTTTTTGACTATGTAATGATTCATTGGTTTATGAATGCATTACTTTTCCGTTATATGATTGGCATGTTTGTTATGTTTCGGAAGATATCCATGAATCATTGCAGATGATTCTAAACTCCCTGGTCAGTTGTCATTGTGGAAACAATGATGAATTAAGACCAGCATGAGGTGTGAGTGATGATGATGATCATATGCATTGGATGCAAATCACAATCATGGGTACTTGTTTGGAACGAGTGATTGGATGACCCGCATGAGATTGTCATATGGACATGAGTCATGACTTGAATCTCTACAGCGGTTCGTTCTTGGATCCTCAGACCTGAGATGTCTAGAGTATCTGATATGAGGAGTGGCGTGTGTTGGCTGCGTCAAACGTCATCTTTAACAGGATGATTATAACGGCGTTGCTCAGATACGTTCATGAATCATATGTAGATAGTAGACATGCAATATGAGACTTGTCACCTCCTTAACAGGAGAGATGTCGTTGGGCCCCTCGTGGAAATCGGACTGTGAAAATACGTGGCCACGCTATAGATGAAGTTACATCTATTTTATCAGTCGATTTGCCAAGACGAGTAAGCGGTTGAACTGGAAGGGTGGCTCACACCATGCCCTTGTTCAATATATGACATCGTGAGACAAAGGATCAGAACTCGAACTATTGCTGGCTTTGTTAGATCATCTCTAACTCTATTCTAGGTGGGTGGTCATGGCGTCTTGCTAGAGGCTAACCATGACTTTGTGGTTCGGGAAAGGGTTTCCGAAGTCACTACCACTTAGAATGGGCCTACAGGATCACACACCATTAGGGATGGATAACATGTGGAGAGTTCGATGCGAATCGGAACGACGAAACGAGCTGGAAGAGTTTCAGACGTGTAGACCGATAGGTCTAGGACATAGACCGATCGGTCTACACGTAGCTTGGACCGATCGGTGTACACGGAACGAGGTGGAAAAGTTCCAGACATGAAGACCGATCGGTCTAGGACGTAGACCGATCGGTCTACGTGAAGCTCAGGAGGTCAGTCTAAGCGAAGCTCTACCGATCGGTCTAGGTGTAGACCGATCGGTCTATGCGTCGTAACAGTTTCCTTTTTCGCGAATTTTAGGGTTTTGGCCATCCTATTTGTTATGGGAGCCGCCCCAAAACCCTTAGCAATCATCCTCAGACATCCTAGACTCTTTCTAGAGGCTTTGAGAAGTTTTCTTCTGAGTTCAAAACCCCGGAATATCGATTCCAAGTCAAGGACGTTGTTTTCTCTTCACAAATTCTAGCAGATATGTTCCAAAGTGTTGGAATTCATTCCGCCGGTGTGGATACATGTAGAGGAGTTGTACTTTCAACTCTTTGTGATTAAAACAGGCCCTGGATCGATTGATACTTCCAGATCTTGATAGAACGAGGTAAGTACTTGAATCCCACGATGATATACACGTTCTTTCGGGTTATTGCACAATTGGTTTTGTGTGACGTTTGGCTAGGTTTAGATCTTTTTCTTCCGCTGCATGAAACCTAGAAACCAAACCCTATATCGATGAGATCGCATGCTAGGAACCCGCAGGAAACCCAACATCAAGTATTTAAGGATGTTCTTAAATACGATTCAGTAAGCCTCACCTGGTTCAGACTGATATATATTTGTCATGCTCAATCGTATGATACAACCGGATGAGTACATAACATGATAGATCCAATAGCCGAGGCTTATGGGATTTTACTCATTTTGGACATTGATTCTTGTTGAGAGTCATATCGTGTGCCATTGGCAAGGCATCCCTCTTAGAGTCTTGCATTTTGAACCGATCGATTCAATACCTTGTCAATGTATGTGTTCTTACTTAGAGCTAGAAGCTTTTTTTATCTAGGTCTATAATCTTGACACCTAAAATATAGGCGGCTTCTCCTAAGTCTTTCATCGAAAAGATCGATCCTAACCCATTTTTTACTCCTTGCAAGGTAGGAACATTGTTTCCAATGAGCAATATATCATCTACATAAAACACAAGGAAGACTATTGCCTTGTCAAATCGAAGATTCCAATTCCTTGAGACCTCCTTCAGTCCATAAAAAGATCTCTTAAACTTGCACACCTTCTTCGGACCCTTAGGATCGACGAAACCCTCTGATTGTGTCAATACACATCCTCGAGCAGATTCTCGTTAAGAAATATGATCTTGACATTCATCTACCATCTCGTAGTCATAAATACACAACTATGACCAACATAATCCATATGGATTTAATCATCACGAATGGTGAAAAAGTTTTTTCATAGTTTATACCATGAACTTATCGAAACTCTTTCACAACGAGTCGTGCCTTATAGGTATGCATGACACCATACATGTAGGTTTTTTTCTTAAAAATCCACTTACCCAATAATCTTAATACCATCGAATGAGTTGACCAAAGTGCATACTTTATTGTCGTACATGGACTGCATCTCAGACTTCATTGCCTAGTTCATTTTTTGGAATCGAGACTCACCATAGCCTCTGAATACGTTGTAGGCTCGTCATGTTCTAGTAACATGAGTTCGTCGTTTTCAGTCACAAGAAATCCATATCTTTTGGCCTCTTGACGAAGCCTACCTGATCTCCGAGATTCAGTGGAAGATGTTGTTTCAACAACTTGTGATATAGGTTAAACCGTTTCGATCTGTTCACCCGGTTCAACAACTATCTGTGGGTCTCGAACTTCTTCGAGCTCTATTATACTCCAACTGGTTTTCTTGGAGACGAACTATCTCTCCAAAAATATCTATTCCAAGCAACAAATACAATACCTTGTTCCCGTTTGGATTGTAGATACCAATACCATTTAGTTTTCTTAAAGTAACCCACAAACACTTATATATCATACTTGGCAGATAGGTTATCAGAAGTTTAATGTTTTACATAAATGTCGCATCCCCAAATCTTCGTAAATGTCAACTTGGGACGTTTTCCATTCCATAATTTATATGCAATCTTTTGAGCCGACTTTGTAGGAAGTTGTTCAGTATAAACGTTGTTGGTCCAATGTATATTCCCAAAAGATTTAGAAAGATCAACCTAATTCATCGTAAACTGTACCATATCTAATAGGGTGTGATTCTTTCTCTTAAACATATCATTTCATTGTGGCGTTTCGGTGAAATCAGTTGTGAGATAATCTCACAATCTGCTAGATAGTTTGTGAATTCTTGGCCTATATACTAACCACCTCGATCAAATCGAAACAACTTGATCATCTTACCAAGTTGGTTATCTATCTCGTTTCTGAAAATATTTGAACAATTCAAGGGTCTCAAACTTATGTTTCATCCAGTAGACATAACCACGACTAGTGAAATCATTAGTAAACTTAACAAAATATAGATAACTTCCTCTACCGGACGAACTCATAGATACATGCGGAATGAGAAAAATATGTGTCCAAGAGTTCTCCATCCCATAAATTATGGTCGAGATAAGCTGTATTTTACCCGCGTACGAGCCCATCTATTTCCTAATGAATTACTTACGCGACAGCACTATTCAAACATTATGAACAAGTTGTCATCGAGTGGCTCGGCCTATTGCCGAAGAAAAGATTCCCGAAGCCTGAGAGACTCCATACGAAACCAAGGGTTTAATGAAAATTTGATTTTGCATAAACGTTTGATGACTAGTGTCAAAATGGGTCAAGTTAATCACATATATTAAAATGGACCAGGTTTATTAAATATGCCTTCTTAAATAACTTTTAAATCTACAATCCGGAAAATGATTCATTCTACCATATAAAAGAAATCAGTACCAGTTTTGGCTTCAGATTCTGTTTCGAAAGAAAGAAGATAAAAAGAACAAAATTGAGCCCGTTTTACATAACTTTTAAAAGCAGCATTTGGTAGAGAGACTCCTAACACTGCTTCTCTCCACAAAGGTGTATTTTTAGAAAGTTTTAGAGTATTTCCTGATCTCAAACATGATGGAAGAAATGGAGACAAGATCTTTGTTTAGAGCAGACGACGCACCATCGATCTTCTTAATGCAGTCTGTGAGTCTTGTGTAATACAGCAGGAGTTGCGTCAAGGCGGCCCTCAGGATCTCCATACCGCACAAGAAATTGCTGAACGATGTTATGATATCTTTGTGCATCATTTCTATCGCCATCTTCCATCTGCTTCCGAAGTCTTTCACCAGCGGCTCTACTTCAGCAACCGTTATGGACCTCTCTGGGTTTGAACTTGAATCCTCCGCAGCTGCAGATGGAAGACATTTTAGTGCCGACTTTTTAACTTTTTGGAAAAGTTTGAGGGAAAAAAGCAATGAGAAAGAAGCTGCTTACAGGCTCGGCTTTTCACAAATTTAATTAGATCACTGAAATGCTCCACCAGCAACTCTTCCTGCAAGGCAAAATGGATTCAAAATGTGGACTAAAACATCTCAAGTACTTGTGTTGTTCTTAGTGGACTTCAGAAGCATATTTCAAAATACAGATGTTATGGCTACTCACTGACAGCCCATAAACCATCAGCCCTTACCACAAAAAACGAAGAGTTACTCTTTAGCAATTCCTCGAAATGCATTTGGATTTTCCCACCATCTTGACCAGCTTCCTGGAATTAAAATACAGGAAGATCATTATACTTTCACCTGGCGGGTACGCTTAAGAGTTTTGGATTTGCTGCTACAAATCACAAACTCCCATGCAAAGCTTTAAGTGGGTTCAATTAATCTGAGATAAAGATTTTCTCCACCTTAAGCACAGCAATCGTCATATCATAGTTGTTTATAAGAAAAACAATTTGCTGTTTTGGCTTTGGGAACAATTTTGCGAGCTTGAGAATCAAGTCGTCGACAGCCATTCTCAAACGCTCCAAATTTAGATCAAGCTGCAAGTACCATCGATAAATGTCAAACAGCTTCGAGTAATATATCTTGTAATACAGAGGGGAATGCATATACAGAACCTGCCCATCTCCATATTCAACATTCAGGTGAATAAGTGACGCTGTGAATTCAGCATAGCGCCTCATAACATAGTGAGGATGGATATCATCTTCCCATAATGTCTTCACATTAGCATTACGCAGACTGCTGAGGTGCAAGTCAAACACCAACTTGAAACGAGGCCATAAACAGAGATTAACCTGTTCAATTTGTCAGAACACACAAGATTCCTTTAAAGAGCTGCATTTACTAGACGATGGCCAGTGAAGTAAAAAACAGGTCTTGTTTAGAGCAACAATTGAGAACAAAGCGATACATTTAATAGTACATTCAAACCGAACAACGAGGAAAAGGTATATGCAAACCTTGTCTAGATATGAATCCAAGCAAGGAATCCTCCTTCGAGTCATGACAAGCTGTGAGAAGATGGAAAACTTAGTATTCCTTGTAACACTTAAAACTCACATAGTAACCATTGGTATTGGTAGTTGACCAAAAGAAACACCATTGACATTATTTGTCAAATCTTTGGGAATCGGCAACTGATAAGTAACACTGTTTTATCATACTGATAAAAGCAAAACATCTGACCGTGGTGACATGTCGACTAGGAAAGAAGAACTCAAATAAAGGTACGAATTGAGAAACGTGTTTATATATGAGTAGTGTATCCAAAAAGCAGTCTCAGACCCCAAGGCTTTGCGTGTCCACATTAGTCAGAAGAAAACGGTGTTCGGTTAACTCAGGACCACATAATATTGGGTTTTCACATGACAACGGGAAACATATAACTTGCACAATGAAATTACATAATTTACCTGGTGGTGGTGTATGACGCGTATCATAAGCATTAGGCCAATAGCATCATAGCAGTTTGAAAGCACTAAATGGAACTGTTCATCGATGACACCAAATGGACCTGTATCATGCAGAATCAAACATGTAAATCACCACCAAAGCGTGCTACTTCAATCATCCTATATTCTTCTAGAAAGACGACATTACTCTTTGATCTTTCCTACCAAATGGTCGTCATACAAACTTGGATATGTCCAATCAGATTTCTACCATCTTGTTATATTAATTGAATTGAATTGATTTTGATTTTTTATTCTGGTTGTATCTATATATTTGAAGTAAAATATGGTTAAAGAACTTCTGTAATATCATATGATATACTTGGGATTAAGGTTGTTTAAGTTGAATATGATACTCTAATAAGGTTTAGGTCCTAACTCCACCACAAAAGCTAGTTTAAGAGTGGAGGTTTGACCCTTACTTATATATTGGCCCAAATCCCTCTCATTTTCCAATGTGGGACACTTATCAATCCCTCTCATTTTCCAATGTGGGACACTTATCAATCCCTCTCATTTTCCAATGTGGGACACTTATCAATACCGTCCGCAGAAGAACGGTCCGTCAAAGGCCCACCGGAAAGTAGAGAACCAGGCTCTGATACCAATTAATAAGGTTTAGGTCCTAACTCCACCACAAAAGCTAGCTTAAGAGTGGAGGTTTGACCCTTACTTATATATTGGCCCAAATCCCTCTCATTTTCCAATGTGGGACACTTATCATACTCTCTCTCAACAGCTAAAATTTCTTCAGAGGTTGATCAAATATGCTACAGAAAATGTGAGAGAGGGTAGATGTTACCAGAAAAAATCTCATAAAAGATGGATTCTTCGCCAAAGAAATCATCACAAAATATGTACCTGATAAATGAAATAAATAACATTAACCATTGAGGAGTTGAATGATGAGAAGCAACAATAGAAAAGGGAGGGCAGAATCGACAATACTCAGAAGTAGCTGTATCCATAAGCAGCTTGTGCAAGCTTCTGAAGAGCACTTCGTAGGGATATTTGATAGAGCTGGCTTCAGCTATGTGCGGGATCAATGCAGGTTGATCAATTTCCTACAGTTGACATAAAATCAAATCCACATCCTTTACCGATCAAAACATGGAGTACCTATATTCAACTACAAGAAAATATACCCGTGGTATAGATTGAGAGAACAAGTTTCTATACTTCCAAAAATAGACCCAAAATTAGTATCATCTTCAGAGTCAAGAATCAGAAAAGTAACACAACATTAAGATCGGCCAGCACAATGGCTCAAACACAACTAATCAGCATTTGCAAATCAATAAATGAAGCATACCTTTAAAATGTTTATTCTCTCACCCAATGCAAAGACAGCAGAACGATTTTTCATGGGCTCCCTTACGATTGAGAAGAGGCCAGTGCTTCTAGTCTCTATGCCGATCAAGTCGCTTGATTCAGCTATATCTAACTGTAGTTTCTCAAGTGCTTGAATATAAGCACGAAAATGAGCACTTAAAACCTGAAAACACCAGTAGTATTTTAGACATATGCATGAGAATTTAAATTTAACACAAAATAATGATGTCATGCTCTGAGAGATTTCACAAAACATAAGCAGGAGTGACAATAATTCAAAGCATAAGCAGCGAGCAGTTTGGCTATCTAAGGTACATACATAAATAAAACAATGCAGTCCAACTTTTACATTTTATAATGCTCGATCAAAGATACAGTTGAGTATGAGCTTTACTTTGTAAGAGTTCCGTTTCAGGGAAGAAAACTTTGGTTTTTCTCCACTCAAAAACTTACAGACGCTATTGCGGAAAGGGATTCCCAACAAAGACTAGACAATTGAATTTATATCCTACACACAGCTTCACTGAACTGACAAAGTGTTCGCACAAACAATTCTAGCGTTGTCCTTACCTCCCTTGCTCATGTCATACAATACCTAAAAGGCTGCAGCACATATTGCAACAGGATAGACAATAATCACCTTGTTCATAGTATCGACATAGGCTGCACGGACATTCATAAACACCTCCTTACCATGTTCCTTGAGGAAGGAAATGATGTACCTGTAATTTAAACCATAATCAACAAAGCATAGACTGAAAAAGTTATAGATGAATCCGCTAGTTGAAAACAAACTCATATAACAGCATGTCAATAAATTTTAAAATAAATCAACCACAACACAAACACCAATATCATGGAAAAACTCAAATTACAGGGAGCACAAAATAGCTTGAGATATTAGTTTGGTAGACACGTTCATATAGAACCCATCAACAGAAACATGCAGTTCAGAAGAAAAAGAAGCTCTGTACTGTGAATACAGCAATGTGGCATAAATAATATAGAGCTGTTAGTAGAACATTACTCACTTGTACTTTAGCAACACGCTTTGTTGAAGAATCTGGATGTTTGTTTTTGGTTTCCTCAGGGCTATAAGCTTCTGGACAATAAAATCATACACCTGCAAAACAGATACGTGACTGTCGCATAAGAAATTATTCACAGAGAGGTTCATGTGTGCACAGTTTGAGCACTGAGAGAGAAGTAACAAAAACCAACTCAGATTATATAGTACTAAAATTCATAGAACTTATGTCGGACACGCCTTTGCTAGGCCATCAACTCCTTTAAGATATAAAGGGCAAAGCTTCAGAATCCTAGTCTCATCTCCATGTGAGAAAAGATTGGACTATTCAGGAAACTTAGCTTCTGAGGTAAATTATCCAACAATTGCCCATGTCAAGAAACATAACATCATAGAATTAGTAAAGTAAAACATAAAAAATGCATATTTGTTCGACAACATCGAAAGCAGAAAGCAAATATAATCAATAACCTTTGAAATGGCCTTTTGCCGGAGCTTCTCAAGCTCCGGCTCAACATCTCTTAGAGATTTGGAACATTTGACCACAGGATCCATCTCAATGAACTTCAGCTTCTTACTCAGAATTTCAAGTGTTCTGATATAGTCTTCGTTTACCTAAACAAGGAAACACCACAAGTATCTAAGAAATCCAGAAACACGAGATTTTCCTTCAGCATCTGCAGTAGGACTCGAAAACTAATGCCAAAAAAAACATTGTCTACAAAAGTTAAAAGAAAGACGAGGAATAATGAATTCCAGTTCAACTAACACATGTAATGGCATCATGAAACCCTTGCATCACATTCAAATGACAGAAAAAAGAAAAGAAAGAGAAGGTGCAATATCAATAACCTGCATGAATCCTACCAAATACCAAAAGCCATCGCAAAAGAGCATAAATTGTATATACCTCTCCATCAACAATTATATCTATCATCTTTGGTGGAACTATAATGTCTTCCACAAATTTTGCTAGTCTCGATTCAGCCACCTGTTCAACGGGTAGGAACATAAAACAACAACACCAAAACAGTGGCAGTCAAAAGAGAATGCTAACATCAATCCTAATTGATTTATACCCTTCGGTTTTTCAGTCTCAAACCCATGTCCATTGATTTTTCTTGTAGAATCTTTATATCTGAGCTTATAGAACCAATCTCTTCCTGGAAAAAAAGAGAAAGAATCAAGACAAAAGAGAACAGGAGAAAAGGTTTAGTTAAGAGTAAAAGAACCGTGCATGTTTTTCCAGATGAAAGAAAGACATACCTGGCAATAGGAACATGGAGAGAAAGGAATGAACAAAAAAAAAACATTTTACAGACCACATGAATGGTTACAACACCTGAAATCCACTCAGGAGACTTTCCATTTGTGATAAGATGCTGTCACAGTCACGAATCTGGTCATGAAGTGAGACTAAGTTATCACTTTCTATAATGTAATCCTGGACATACATGAAGGGCAAAGCATTAGTGCAAGCAGAATAGAGAGCTGAATAAAATCTTCTACTAGTAAATGCCGAAAATATTACACAGAACAGGCGGAAACCCTATCATGTATCATCAATAAAATAACAACCTGAATCGAGTCCAATTCCACCTTACGCAGATTGTTTTCAACCCCTTTTGCATAGTCCCTAAGTTTTGCACCACTGCAGAGTATGTTGGAAACAACCTGAACAGACACACCAATAAGGTGGAGAGGATGTCATATCATTGCATCACAAAGTCTGGTCAGTACATGTACAGAGCAATTGAAAAGAAAGTAGACATGAATATGGAAACAGAAGAGTGACAACCACATGCTTGATTTCGTTCTAAGCACAAGTTTCTATCTTAAAAGTTCTAGTACGAATATTCTCAACTTTGGAAACAGTCAAGAAGGATTTAAAAGAGATGGTTTAGTCATGGAGTAAGTTAATAAAGCAGAGTAACAAAAGGAGCTGGAAAGAGAAGTTAGAGAACAAGCTCAGCTGAAAGTTCCTTTGGACAGCCAATATTAAATCCAGAGGCATTATGATTATCATACTTCATCACTCTCACATTCTTCTAGTTCTTGCTGAAGCCCTTCCAATGACACATCTTCACTGTCATAAGAAGAAGATTAGGTCAATTTTTTCATTTGTGGTACAAGTATTTGAATATATGTCATTTGCAAAATGTAAAATGAAAAGAGTAAATAATTCTGAATAATTCAGAGAAGAAATGCCCTTTTTTATACAGATCTCAGAGGAAGGCATCAGAACTGCACCTGCCTGAGTCCTCTTCAAAAGACAAGTCTCCAACAAATGCTCCTAAATCAAATCCGATTTTCTGGGTATTATTGAGTTCATCCATGGCTTGGCCCTATCCAACACACAAAGATGCATAAAGAAAGAAGGACATTTCAGTGCAAATACAGAATGGCAACCGGCAATATGGTTGAGCATAATGCGAACCCAGATTCAATATCACTTAAATCAACTTTATACTGGATCCAACAGAAAGCCGAAGAATGAGATTTTGCTGCATCATTGATATGCACTAAAGAAGTGATACCATACTGCAACTGCAAAAGCTACAGCTTCTCTTTAATAAAAAAATGCAATTGGTGCTCAATTATCCAAAATCTCAAGAAGAAAACAAATCACTGAAGTTCTAAACCATAAATCACACGGGCTACGCTGAAAATCCAGAATCACATTATGAATCAGAACCTGATATATAAAATGAACAAGCAATTGACTTCAAAGTCGTGGTTTCAATCACCGATGATTTGAGATCCGAAGTACCAATACGCGTAAGCAAAAAAAAAAAAGACCAAAACTCAAAGAAAAGGCAGGATCGGAACAAGAAAATGTGCAAAAAGAAAAGGACAGTTAAAAGGAAAAGGTTTGCAGACAGTGTGGATTCGATCGAAACTCCTCGTTAGGGTTTTCCGGGACGGTGACGACGGTCGGCGGTGACCGGCAACGAGTAACGGAACGGGAAGAGAAGTGTATGAAAGGATCTGGTAATTTTATAGATTTTAAATCCTAGTAAGGGTAGTATTGTATTTTGAGCTCTTGATGCTACTAATGCACGATAACTTTTTTTTTGGGGGGTTTTAATTTGGGTATATTTAAAAAAACGGTTGGTACAAAGAACATGATCCACGATCCACATTCCAAGCCAACGATATCTAACTCTTATAGGGAGATCTTACAACCTCAGCCCTTTACAATTACATCTGTATATCACGATGTAAGCTTGGGAATGGAGCTACTGCATCATTTTGGCACGACCATTGGATAGAGTTAGGCCCGCTCATTGAACATATCGGACCTCACGGACCGAGAATATTAGGGCTGCTCCTAACAGCAAGGGTGGTCCACGCAACAAGAGACGGAAGATGGCAGCTTCCACCGGCTTGTTCAGACCAGACCCAAAACCTACACATACATCTGCTGCACAGAAATCCACCGAGGAGCGATGAAGGGGAGGATAGGTACGAGCGGAAAATGAAGAAAAACACTTATGGGCCGCAGTTTTCAGCAGCAAAGACTTGGAAATTAATCAGAGCACGATCAGCGGAAGTAAACTGGTGGCAGATGATCTGGTTCAAGCAAGCAATTCCAAGGTATGCATTTATGCAATGGATGACTATTCAGGACAGACTCTCCACCTGTGATAGGTTGATGCGTTGGAATAGTATACAGAATGCTGGTTGTGTTTTATATGATGTAGAACACGAGATGCACGAACACCTATTTTTTAGGTGTACCTACAGCTTTGAGACGTGGAGCATCTTGGCAGAGCAACTATGGCCTAACCCGCCGAATGAACTCTTGCAATGTCGTGCTTGGATGGAAGGTATTCCGAGCGAGGATGACAAAGGAAGAAAGACTCTGATGAAAATATCTTGATACCGGTTTTTATGTTTATGAACACATCCGGTCTTTCTATTACATCAATACAAAATTGGGAAAACTCCATATGTATCGTAATCCTATACAAAATTTTAATTTGAAAAAATTCAAGATCTATCACAATCCATCAGCAAAACACAAAATGTATCGCAATTTCTTACACGATATCAAACGGTGTTGAGAATCTACGATTTTCATCATAAAAATGATAATAAAATAAAAAATAAAATTTAAAATTTAAGATAAAAATTGATTAGTCAATTGTGTTATTGATTAACTTAGATATATATATATATATATATCAGGAATGTAAATTTAAGGTTATATATCGGATGAATGGTGATTCATTAGGCAATTGTGTAATTGATTAATTGCCTAAAAAATTGGTGGTTTAAGGGGGTAAATTTTTAATATTTTTTTCCTAGCGGGACGTTGCGCCCCGAACCCCCGCTTTACCCATGATCTTGGATGTAAAGTAAAATGGAATTAGAAAAACTAATGAGATTATGAATCCTAATAGGATTAACAGTCCTAAAAAATTAAGAATCTTAATTAGATTAGGAATCTGAAAAAGAATTATGAATCCTAGTTAGATTAGAAATGTTAATGGGATTGACAATACTAATAGGATTAGTAATCCTAAAGGAGGTAGGAGTCCTAAAAGAATTACAAATCCTAATTAGATTAGAACCCTAATGGAATTATGAATTTTAAAGGGAATAAAAAAACCTAATGAAAATAAAAATCCTACGATAGTAGCAGTTTTAAAACTAATGGTGGAAATAATATCCGAATATCAAAACAGAATTATACCATATATTCGATTTGATTCATATTATATATGTATTAATAATATATGGTTAATTTAGTAATTAATTTATAGATAGGAGAGCAACTTTGTGAAAAATAAAAATATGCAAGGGTTTTTTTTGTTTCCCTATTCTTTCCCTCTCTTCTCTTTGTCCGTCGACCACTCTCCTTCTCTCTCATCATTTTTGCATATTCCAAATCCATCGACATCAACCTCCTCTGCAATATTTCATTCAACCGTCTCCCTTTTTTTTCTTTTACTTTGTTGTAATACTATGATTTAGGTATTTTTTTTAAAAAAAATATTTAACGATTTTTCTACTTGCAAATATAATTTCGTTTTTAATTTTATTTTTTTAAATACAAATAATTTTCTAAATTTTTGAACCGATGTTTATATATTTTAGTTTGTGTTTGAGTTTTTTGTAATTTTATATATTATTTTTATTATTTTTATATCGGATACGAATAACAAAATTTGATATTTGTAAGAATACGAAAACGAAATCTAAAAAATTCTGATCTGTGTCTACTTCTAATTAAAATTATTTTACGAAAAAAATATTATATTTTTTAGTTTATTATAAAAAAATCATCAATTATAAATTTAAAAAAAAAACCACCAACTATATAATTTATTCAAAAATCATATTTTAGTTTAAATTTAATATAAAAACAATCACCTATTAAATTTATTAAAAAATCAACAACTATCTTAATAACTTAAAAAAAATATGTTACTTTAAATTTGTTATAAAAATATATAAATTTTGAATACAAAATCATATGTAAATTATATATACAATTTAAAAAATTAAAAAGAAATTAATATTTATATAAACTCATCACATTATAATATTTAAAATTTACATAAATATCGACAATAAACTTATATACAAATAGTATATTTAAAATTAGGTATATATTTATTAGTTATAAATATTCTATTTCAAATTTTGTGATATATTAGTATTTGAAGAATTGCAAACTATCAATTTGATTTTTTTTAAATTTTTAAATTAAAATATTATATAGTGTATAATTTACATATAAATTAATTATATCAAATTTAATATATCTAAAATAAAATAAAAATATGATATTTTTATATTTTGTATCATATAAATTGATGAAATTGTACATATAAAATATAAATTTCTTAAGTAATTTGGATAGTTGATGTTGATGATTGTTTTTTTCTAAATTTATAAATTTTTATAACAAATTTAATGTAAAATATTTTCTCCAATAATTTAGATAGTTGATTATTTTTTTATTAAAACTAATAATTAATGTTTTTATATTAAATTTAAAGTATAAGATTGTTTTTGAATAAATTCTATAATTTATATTTTTTATATTAAATTTAAAGTATAAGATTGAATAAATTATATATTTGATATTTGATTTAAAATTAAGATTATTTTTTACAATTAATTTAAAATATAATTTTTGTGCGTGTGAGAGATAGTAGGTGTAAAACTGAAAGTAGTATATAAATTTACTATACCCTCTATGTTGCACATGTCGAGAAGAGCCCAAAACGAACTCCTCGGCGACTAGTCGAAACCGGAGGAGCCGATTGATCCAACCATGGAGCAGAATGGCGGCGTCAGAATTCATGTCGGAGGATTGGGAGAAAGCGTTAACAGAGACGATCTTCTCAAGATATTCTCTCCAATGGGATCCGTCGAAGCCGTCGATTTCGTCAGGACCAAGGGCCGCTCCTTCGCCTACATCGATTTCTCCCCCTCCTCCGACAATTCCCTTACCAAGCTATTCTCCATGGTGCGTTTTCAATCTCTGCTTCTGGGATTCGTATTTCATCCATTTCTTAAGTAAAACCCTTGTTCTGTCTAAGGGCCGCTCCTTCGCCCACATTAGGTTTTCAAGCCCTTGCTCTCTTCTTGTATTCGATTCGTAATCCATCAATCTCTTAATTTATTGCTGATTCTTTTGTCAAAACTTCAATATTATGCTCCTCTGTATAGTGTTCTATCAATCTCTTCTTTTCTTCTTGTTCCGTATTCATAGTTCTTGGATTTAGTTATAAAATACTGATACTTTGGACTAATTTTCTCGGCCTTTTGCCATGGTAGTACAATGGATGTGTTTGGAAGGGCGGGAAACTGCGGCTTGAGAAAGCTAAGGAGCATTATCTGGCGAAGTTGAGGCGCGAGTGGGAGAAGTGTTCCGATGATAACACCAGTTGCCTTCCACAGCCACCGCCTTTGACTTCCGACACTTCCGACGACAGTCACCTGAAGATATTCTTTCCCAGACTCAGAAAGGTGATTCATGATAATCATAACTGTGACTGCTTTAATCTGCATAGGAAAAGGAGATGGTGCTCTGAGCTAATACCCTTTTGCCATCGCTGGCTTATTGAGTGGAGCTTTTGTTGCAGATGAAATCTGTGCCTCTCACTGGGACTGGCAAACATAAGTATAGCTTCCAGCGTGTGCAAATACCATCCTTGCCAAAGTATTTTTGTGACTGTGAGGAGCACGCTACATCTCACACTCTGCAGGGGAACCGATGTCATGATGTAGAATCACATCACGCGGGAATAAACGAGGAAGAGCTGAATATTATGAACACGGTGATGAATAGACTCTTTCAGGCAAACGGGGAATGGGAAACAGGGGGTTTTGTAGAAAACAAAAAGGACAGTGACATTGAAGAAGATGACCAAGATAACCTCGTCATCAATGTGGTATCTAGTGTGAATTCTATTTTAACCTTGTCGACAAACAGGGATCTGGAGACAGTCTCGAGAAAACGGGTATGTGGGACAGATATTTTCCTGTGTTTTCTGTTAACACTATTGTATCATCTAGATTAGATATAATTTGTGTCCTCTATTGTGTTTTGCCTCAGAAATCCATACACAAGGAGACACAAGAAACTAGAGAAGGATATATTCAAGGAAAGAAAAGGAATTGTGGTCATCCAAGCAAGTTAAAGCAATATATGCCGCAGATACCAGAAAACAGTGGTCCTTCAAAAATGGATGCAGATAACTCCTTGGTCGGATCAAGTAGACAGGTATCAGATGTCAACCGCTCAAACAGCTCTGTTTCCCGCCCTCAAAAGTCTTCCTGGAAAGCACTTATAGCGAGTGCAAATAATAGCAGCTTTAGTGTATCCAGTGTCTGTTCAGACTCTGCTATTAGCAAAGAAGGGCATCATACATCAAGCAACTCAGATTTTGTTAACTTGCCCACTGAAGAAACTCTGAATTTAAAGGAAGCGGGTGCATCAGAAATGGAAGGATCGGCAGCCAAAAGTATTGTCAAGAAGCAGAAAAGTAAATCGAAAATGCCGAGGAAGTCAGCTTCAGCAAATAGAACTGAGAGGATTGAGTCTACACCTGTAGTCCTCGCTAATGTGGAATCTGAGCTCGCGGAAGTTGAATCAAGTGTCAGGTACTCTGTCATTGATACCTTATTTCAGGATTTGTCGGATAAAGAAACGATTGTAGGTATGGATAGCAATCCAGTCGCCTTCAGTCGACTGACAAGCATCAAGGATGATCAATTTGTGCCCGAGAAATCAGATGCAGAAAAAGAAATGTGCAAAGAAAATCAGAACTTAACCGTGAAGGAAAATGTCGCTAACTGTTTGGATGAAGGGAAGGGGAATCTCGAAGCGTTTAACATAACAGCAAGAGGTTCTTTCTGGCGCCAGAAATCATCATGGACTCAGCTGGTCAGCGAGAAAAACAGTTCATTCAGTATAACTCAGATCTTCCCAGACTTGAATTCAAAGGATCATGAACCTAGAGAAGTGAACCATGAAGATGATGAAGAGTATGATTCTACCAAGAGAGAAAGTGCAACAAGCCAGAGCAAATGTAAGCCCAATCAAGATGGTTTTAGGGCAATTGCAGTCACCAAGGATACTAGCTCAGATGGTGTTCAACCAAATCAGGGCAGTGATGAAACAAAGAAACTGCTGATTGGGGCAACCCGGGCAAGTAGCAGAATCGGTGAAGATGGTTCTAGGGTTGTTGGTATCGATGAGGATAGTGTCATTCAGAAAAGCCCAGATGCCTTGGAAACAGTCGTCGCCAAAGAACCTGGTTCAATCAAGAGCCCGCTGGCGGGTGAAGAGGGCGGAACTTGTTTGTTCATGAGGTCTGGTGCTTCTTTGAAAGCGTGGGCGGATGCTAAGAAGAAGGTACTGTCCGTTTCGGGGAAGGGAAAACCCCGAGATCAAAGATAATATGTTTCATGCAGGCATCAGATTCTTTGAAGCATGTGGGAGGAGATGATTTGGGGATTTCTACGATCGATTTTGGACTGCTAAGTTTGCTTGATTACTCTTTTATTTCTTTGAAACATTTATCATCTTTGAGCTGGATTTCGGCCATGTTGCCTGCCTACCTCGATATGGCCTTGGATGCGATGTTTAAAACTAGACGATCAATATAAAATCCTTGAGAATTTAATAACGCAAATTTGGATAGCTTGGTGTCCAAATTCACGATAGATTTGTATTAGAAATCTGAGTAAACACCACAAATATTTAGTGTTTGATAAGTAGTTTGTTTTTAAGTTTTCAAAGGAATTTCAAAGAAAAAATTCTCAATAATAGAATAAAAAGATTTGAATGTCACAACTGATGAAAAGTCAAACTTCAAAACATATAAAACCATAAAAAGAGATAAAATGACATAATTTTCATAAAAAGTTTGGAAACTGCTAAAAAAAATACTTGAATTGATTTAAATTCGAATTTCCATTTTAGATATGAAACTGAATCGGTCCGAGTTAGATATGAATCGGCACGGGTTAAACCTTTGAGAATAGAGGTGAAATGGAGTCGGTCCGATTTGAATATGAATCGGTGCGGGTTAAACCTGTAAACCTTCTGACTTGCCCAGGTTAAAACTGACTTGTTCGGGTTACTTTTCGATCTTCGTTCTTCAGTTGTACAAGACATATCTAAGGTCCGTATTCATTCCCACGTACAATGACTATGCATTGTAGTTGAATGCAAAGAGCATTCGAGCGGCCGAGTGCACAACGCTCGACTTGAGGAAGCCCGTACATCGACCAAATTTAGAGCAAAGAGTTCGTCCGAAATATATAACGCTAACGCATGACTGAGCGCTCGCCGTTATCGGAAAAATGATATAAGAGTCGTATGAGTGCAGAAACAGAGGATGAAGTTTTGATTCATCATTGTTCCGTATCGAGAGCTCGTACAAGGACTCGGATTCTTATTTTCTTTTAGTTCTGTACCGATTGTCAAACAATTCGAATTCAATTTAATTTCGATCCAATTTACTCGTCTCTGTAAGAACTGTTGCTTTTCATCCATTTTCACAAAGTTAAATCACAATTTTTAAGCAAGTTCAATGAAACCAATCATAAACCAAATTAAACTAGTTGGGGGCAACTCGTTTAATCATCTATTTATTCGGATTTCGCATCAGTTTTTATTAGGCCTTGTAATGTTTTGCAAATCCCTTTGGACCTAAACCGGATTAAATATATACAAACCGAGTCATAATAGAATCGTGCCATAGATTTGTACCAACTTTATCCGTTCTCCAATGGGAAAGTATTAAGATTATAACGAGGAAAATTTCATAAAATTATCCAAATTTTATCTAAAATGTGAACAATAAATATTTTAATTTTTAAATTATTAAATAAGTATCTCATTTGATCAATTTGTATCAAATACATACCAAATTGATGACCTACGTTAATCGATAACAGTATCGATTAATATCAAATAGATACCAAATTAATATTTATTTGACAATTTATAAATTAAAATATTTATGTGATACATTTAGATAAATTAAAGTATTTTTATGGAAATTTTCCTAAAAATACCATTTGCACATAATACTAATAGAACCCAAGAAAAAAAAAAGCTAGGAACAATAGGAAAACATTTCAGTATTTACAAATTACAAGCATACCACTGTAAAGAAAAAGAGGGGAAAAAACAAAAATGGAAAGAAGAAAAGTTTGACGGTACGGACGGCTTGCCCATATTCTTGAATGGTCAAAATCAGAGATAATTGGTCTTATATTCTATTATTCCTTTGTACAAAACTTGCCTGTTGAGAGGCATATTATGATTATGAATACCTTTGTTGTTGTTTCCAAGGATCATCGCATTCTTGTTGCGGAGGTTACCGCCGAATTTGCCCTTTGAATGTCTCCGGCGATACTCTTCGTTGTTCACCGACGGCCCCACCACATCCGCCGCAAGTCTCACCTTCTTCATCGCCATGCATTTCTGCGATCCTGATAACCCAAATCAACCGATTATTCGATTTTTTTTTTGTAGCAGATTTGACGAAGACCAGACGAAAATTAACGGACAAGGACAAAATTCGAATTCTGAAGATTTGTTTTTCGCCTTATAAGTTCGAATTCGTAGTTCAGGGAGGAAAAAGGATCGAGAAAAATTCAGATTCTGGGAGGAATTTTTCCTTTGGCTTACGGAGTTCGAATTTTATCTTCTCCATGAAATCAGAGAGAAGGCGTTTGTGAAACTGAGTCGCGAGGAGCACCACGCTTCCGGAGACGGCGAAGACCGCCATGAACCCTAGAGGACTCTCCATCTATGATATTTTTCTGCAATGCTTTTGGATCTGTCTCTTGCTACAATTCCAAAAATCGGGAAAACAAATTTTCTCCTGTTCTTCTTAGGCTAAGAGATCGAGGAGAAAAAATATGAGGACATGAACGCAGGATCAAAGAAGAGAAGAGAAAAAGCTGAGAATAAGGGAAACATTGTGAATCCCAAACGAAGAAGAAGAAAATGGAGAAGACGACGTAACTTTATATATCAACTGAAAAAAAATGGGGTTGGTGAAAATTTATTTAAAATAAACAGAAAAAAAAATAGAGAGTGAAGTTTTGATTTTCTTAAAATGAGTGGTGGATTTTGCGACAATTAATTTAAGAAAATATAATTATGTCATTAATTATTTTGGTCACCCACTAATCCATAGTTTATTAAATTTTAGATTTTATTTTAATTTTCTTAGTGACAGGTAATGAATTTGCCTCAGTAGAGGTGTAAACGAGCCGCGAATGACTCGTGAGCTGATCCATATTTTTTCGAGACGGATTCAAAATATTTGAACCTAGAAAAAAGCGGGCCAAACGAGCTAGCCCGTCACGAGGCGGACTCGTGGTGAACCAGCTCGCGACTAATTCGTAGACCAGAAAAAAAATATTATTTTTAATTTTAATATTTTTATATATTTTAAAATATTTTTATATATAAATTATATTTTTATGAGATATCTAGTTTATTTTTTATTATATTTTAAATATTTTTTAAATATGAAAATTAGTTTTAAATATTTTTTAATATTAAAATTTTATTTTTAAAATTTATATATTTGACTCGTGAACCGACTCGTTTGACTCGCGGACTAAGACGATATGGGTTGGGGTGGTATATTTTTGACTCGCTAAAAAACGGATAGGATTGGATTGGGCTAAAATTTTTCCATATCGGAATAAGCCGGATTGGGTTGGACGGAACCAACCCGTTTTACACCTCTACTCACCAGTGTGTCACCATCTCTTTTTTTAGAAAAAAAAAAGAAAGAATGAATGAGATATTTGACTTTTTTTGGTACTGTAAAGAAAATAAAAAAACTCGAATCAAGGCAAATCTGAATTGTCAATGAAAATTAAAACGCAAATTTAAGGGAAGATGAGGTTTTAATATTCAATATCAGCAAATGATCCCTTCTTTTTTTCCACCATAAAATATATTTCTCTAAAATATTATGATTTTTTATTAAAATTCAGATAATAATAAAATCTTTCTAAAATAATCGACGGTTTGATAATTAATATGGCAAGGTTCAATATACAACTTTTTTTAGTAAAAATAATTAATCATATTGTGAACGGTGACTAATTATATTGGTGCTTGTAGTTGTGATCGTGAGTTATGTTTTCAGAATCTATATCTATATATATTAATAAATAAGTTTAAAGGGTTGTGGTCAAACCACCTCATCCTCCACATCATCATAATCATTTTCCATCTCATCATTCATATCATTCATATCATTTATGTGATAGTTTTTTTTAATTTTTATTGACATTTAAAATATTTACATATAGATTAGAGAAAAATAAAGTTTTTAAAATAAAAACTAATAAAAAATAATTTTCTGTTTTTAGTTTTTTCAATTCTCTTCGATTCACTAATGTTCACACATATTATTGGTTCCTTTTCTAAATAATTCTAATTTATATGAAAATAATTTTATATTATAATAGAAATTAATAAGATATTATTTAGCAAATAAATGCTCTATTAATAATTAATAAAATAATTAATTATTAAAAATAATATAAAAACAGGAAAAAACGCACAATACATATAGTGATAATTATATGATCAATATTTGCGATATTTAATAATTGATTAAGGACCATGTAATTTCAAGCGTCGATTATTAGTTCCTTAATAACTTGTAAAGCTAATAAAATATATATAATATACAATTATTTCATTATTATATTGAATTGACTAACACTTTAACACAAATATTAAATATAATCAAATATATTATTTATAATATATGTTATAATATAATTAATATTCTAATTTAAAATCAATGCATCAAATTAATATAAACAAAAGATAAATTTATAATAGAATTATAGAAATGAAAAATATATGATTTATAATAGATTAAAATACTAATGAGTATATTTAAAATAATTGCTTTTTGTTTTAATGCTCGTAGTGGGTAGTGGCCAAAAATATTTATAAGCCCATTAACAAAAAAAAACGGTAAAAATATTCATTAGCCCCATTAATCACGACATTTATATGAAATTTCAATTAGCTTAGTAATAAGTTTTACCTATAATACTAATTATTAATTGAATTAAAAACTCTAACCGACAAAACTCTATCATTTCTTATTTATTAGCCCACTAACATCTATATTTATTATTATTTTTAATTGATGACCGAAAAATATCTCATCCTATACACACTCAACGAAAAGGAATATTGGTAATATATATATATTCTTTCGTGTCTTTCTGCACGTCCTCTTAGATTTCTTTTTTAAAAGTTATGTTAAAACTTTTTATACGTTTTCCTTTTACAAGCATACCCCAAGTTAAATTGACCCTCTCTCCCTCCGATTCATTTGAGATTTGAATAACTTTTTTTTCCCAAGATATATTTAGATGTCGGAATAATCTCCTTGGACATGCCTTCCTATTTACATATACACTTTTATTTTCTTATAGTTATATTATATGTATCTTTCTCCATTTTTCTGCAATGTAATTATGTTTTATGATTTTTTGAAAAAATGAATGGCAGATCCGTTCAAGAACATACAGATTGACCACAGCAAAGGCGTGCCGATAGTAATAAAGGACAAATGGCGGTGGAGGTAACCAGTCTAAGATGGGTTAGCCGCTAAATCTGCAACAGATTCATCAGCTGAAAGGGTTTCGATGATGATGACGACGACGATGAATTTGATGATGATTTGGATGATGATGGCTTCGACGATCACCTTCCTCCGTCGAACAAGATGAAACCCATGATGGTGACAAGAGAAGAAGTTTAGACATGAAGCTTTTTTTTTTGGTATAAGTTTAGACATGAAGCTTTTTTATAATGTTTGATTGATTTTTAATTTTTGGACTGTACGATTTTCATAATGAGTATTCACTCTTTACAAGAGGATAATATGAGAAAGAAGTTTACTCATTGACAGAGTAACACTAAGCAAAACTTAACTCATTGATTTTCATTTAGTCAGAATTCAGTGTTCAGTACCGCATCATTGGTAATACCTGAAGCGATGTTATTAAGTATGAGACTGGAATTGTATGTGTGAGCATGAAAGGCGTGTTGGAAATATTAATATTTTAATGGCTCATGTAATTTTGGGCTTTCGAATTCAATATGACATTGACTTCATTGATGGATATGGGTTTATGAAAGTGTCGAATTTCATGGGTGTTTATGGTTATCCATCTCTCCTTATCCTATAAATAGTGGACAAATGCTTCACATTTTTCATCCATCAGAAAAATTATCAAAGTAAGGGTGAAAGGAGAGAAAAACTGATTTACCGACTTGTTCTTCAAAGTCATTCCGCTGCAATATGGATTCCGGTATATTCTTCAAAGTCATTCCGCTGCAATATGGATTCAGGTATATTTCATATACGATATATACTATCTTATTAAGTTTGTGTGAATTATGTAATACCGTATCCAGTTTTGGTGAGTTTTCATAAAGTTATCGAAAACCATCAATATAAAGTTTACATTTGGTATCAGAGCATGTGTTTTGGTGTTATCATAATTCATCGATTAAAGTTTCGAAATTGTACTATATTTCGAAAATTATGAAACACATTTTTTTTATATATATCTCATTACGTTGATTCTAAAACGTGTTTATTCATATGCACAATTAAAGATTAATGTGCATTATATATGGATATATTTTTCATTAAAATATATCATCAAAGTTTATAGTAATAAAAATTAAAGTGTATATATATATATATCTGAATTAGTATATATATATAATTGTTATATAATAATAATATATGTTTTGAATATATCAAAATGCACATAAAATTACGTGTATTTTATAAAAGTTATACCCTTATTAATAACAATTTTGAATAAATTAATTTATTATAATATATTAATACTGATAACTTTTATGTTGTTATAATACATATAAATATGTATTATTATTATTTTGTATCTTCGTATAAGTATGTATATTACGTATTAATATACCATATAATAATTTATGTGGATAATATTTTATATGCTTTATGAAATTAGCTATGTGGATACATATTATATAGAAGTTAAAAATATTTTGATTTGTTTATTATTTAAACTTGTTAGTCACCAAAGTGACCTAGTTTAAATTTAAATTAAATATTCAAATCAAATATGTATGTTTTAATTGTTCATGATAAAAGGATGCAAATGTATGACATAAAATAAATAAATAAATAACTAAACAATTATAATTATTTATCGTATTGCTATTAGATCATCCAAAGATGGATCAATGCATATGATTAATAATATTAGAGGGACATAATTGTTTTTTGGTTAATCAGTATGTATGTCCAAAGATTGCATGCTTATTTAACTGGTAGTATTATGATGTCCATTAAAGTATATTTTGCATCAATGATTGTATATATATATCGAAGTATTGCCCAAAGGTGAACTTTGATATATATTATTGTTAATTTTGAAATACTAATGGATGGATATTTATAAAATTTTAGCTTCACTTAACCTTATGGCTTCTGGAAATAGAATTATTAAGTTCAACGGGCTTAACTATGCAGATTGGTCTGAACAGATCCAATTTTATTTGGATTTCAATGATATGGATCATGCATTGTTGAATGAAAAGCCAACAACCATAACAGTTGGAAGCTCAGAAAATGACAGGATTAACTTCGATTCCTGGGATCGATCGAATAGGTTGTGTTTGAAATTGATGAGGATCATTATGACAGAAAGTGTTAAGCCATCGATACCTAAAATTGAAAGTGTAAAGGAATTTATGCAAAAGATTAAAGAGTATTCTCAGTCAGATCTGGCTGACAAGTCAATTGTAGGAAGTCTCATGAGCGAGCTGACTACGGAAAAGTTTGACTGGTCACAACCTATCCATGATCATGTGACTAACATGTCTAATATAGCGGCAAAGTTGAAAACTATAGAAATGGATGTTAATGAGACATTTCTGGTCCAATTCATAA